ATGGAATATGTGCAGTTTAGTGTCATTTGAAGGAAAAAAAACAACTACAAAACACTATAAATGTTCAAGTTTTTTTTTAAGGTCTGAAAAACCCTAAAATTCAAAACCATGATATTTCTTGGGGGGAGGGGACACAGAGACAGCAAGGGATTGTAAATAGTATTCAATCTAAGTGATTTAGCTTTACTTGTAATATTCTAATTTGTTTGTTTGTTTGTTTGTTTGTTTTTTATTCAGAGTCTCACTCTGTTGCCCAGGTTGGAGTGCAGTAGCACGCTCACGGCCATTGCAGCCTCGACCTGCTGGGCTCAGGCAATCCTTCCACCTCAGCCTTCCAAGTAGCTGGAACTATAGGCGTGTGCCACCATACCCGGCTAATTTTTAAAAATTTATTGTAGAGACGAGGTCTCACCATGCTGCCCAGGCTGGTCTTGAACCCTCAGGCTCAGGCAATTCTCTTGCCTCAGCCTCCCAAAGTGCTGAGATTACAGGTGTGAGTCACCATGCTTGGCTAGTTTTTTTTTTTTTTTAAACAAAAGAAATTGTATTCTTACCTTGTGTAATTTAATTCAAAAAATGTTTAACTTGCTAATAATCCTGGGACAATAATCAGAAATCCATATTTATGCAGACTACATCAAATTTACTCTGATAACAATAGTAAATTAGGAGGATGACCAAATTGAAATTTGATCCAGGTCCACATATAGACTTTATTTAGTCCTATTAGGTCAGTCTATACAACACCGACAATCGTTTTTTATCTATAACTATTTTAATATCATATAGTTCAATCTAATCTTTTTGTTTGATTCAGAATTCTTTTTGAATTGGTTGAATTGGTCATGAGTTGGTTCCATTATATTATTTTGGTGGGACCAAACAGCAAATAAAAAATATAGAATTAGTGATATTAACCACTGAAATATACACTAACTCAGTTGAACTTGCTAGAGAACTCCTGAGAGCAGTTCGTAATGCAGGATTAGAGCCAGATAGCTCCCTCTGGCTTATTAGTACTGGTGTGCTAGCTGATTTGACTGGGGGGGGGGGGCAGGATTGCTAATACTAACTAGCCAGCATACACAAGGGGTCAGGACATCCTCAACGCTTGAAATCAAGACTGTCAGAGAACAAATTCTGAGGTTCTTGATAACACGCTATTGCTAAAGAGAGAGTAATCGGAGGCCATAGAGCAAGGGGGAATGATTGCAACCTTCTCATTAGTAGGCGTTAAGAAGAGGAGGGAAGCTGGGCTCAGTGGCTCAGCCTGTAATCCCGCGCTTTGGGAGGCTGAGGTGAGTGGATTGCCTGAGCATGCGGGTTCGAGACGCGCCTGGCCAACTTGGCGAGACCTCATCTCTACAATAAATCAAAAATGAGCCGGGCGTGGTAGCACGCGCCTGTAGTTCCAGCTGCTTACACGGCTGAGGCAGAAGGATCGCGGGAGCACAGCAGGTTGAAGCTACGGTGGCCGGGAGTGACCACTGCACTCCAGTCTGGGCGACAGAGTGAGACTCCAACTCAAAAAAAAAAAGAAGAGGAGGGAAATTTTTTCTATGGTCCCTTTAGGGTAGGAGACAGATTTCTGGAATTAGAAAAATGATTTCATCTGCAAGAAGCCACGTGGTTTGAATGGAGAGCATTTCCTCAGGATTCTTAGAGGGAAGATAAGTACAGAGGGCCTTTAGGAACCTTGTGCTGATTAACAGACAGAGCCTCCTGGGGAACAGTCTTACACACATCCTACTAACACAGGCGTTGTCCTAATTCCGAACTCAAAGAGAGACAGTTAAAGACCCGTATGTATGTGATGGATTTACTTTTTAGCAGTATAAAAGAAAGTCATTTTGGAAGGATCTTCTTTAAATTGTACAGTATAAGCCAGGTGCAGTGGCTCTTGCCTGTAATCCCAGCATTTTGGGAGGCAGAGGCAAAAGGATTACCCAAGCCCAGGGGTTCAAGACCGGCCTGGGCAATTTGGTGAAACATTGTCTCTACAATAAATCAAAAAATTAGCCAGGCGTGGTGGCGCGCACCTGTAGTTCCAGCTACTTGGTCAGGCCGAGGCAGAAGAATCACCTGAACCCAGAAGGGCAAGGCTGCTGTGGCTGAGAGCGTGCCATTGCACTCCAGCCTGGGTGACAAGAGTGAGACTCCAACTCAACAACAACAACAAAAGAAACTGTACAGTACTACAACCAATTCAACTGATCTGACAGGCAGAAGGGAAAAGCTATCCCTCTGCCTCAGTTCTCTGCCCTTAGGGCCTTAGTCCTTTCTGGAACTAGAATAGTTCCAGTCCTTTGAGAACTAAAATAGTTCAGAGAAGACAGGCTATTGTCAAAGTCAAAATCATCATCACTATCATTTAGTGCTTAATGGGTCTTAAGCACTGTATTAAACTTATACCTTCTTTAAATCTTGCCCTATCACTATAAGGTAGGTATACTTAATATTCCTACTTTACAGATAAGGATAAATGCCTAATAGAGGTTAAATAATTCTCCAAAGCTGCATAGCTAATAAGTAGCAGAGCCAGGATCCAAGCCATAGTCTGAATCAAATCTCCCTACTATAACATTACACGCTACAGTTTCCTCCATTTATCCTGGTTGACCCCAGACAGGAAAGTAACAAAACTCAAGTACTGACTCTGGGCTTTCAACTCCTTCTATCTTTCATGTCTAGCTACTTAGAAACACAATAATGATTTAATATATATGTGCCTGTGTTACAAATTTAATTAAAATGACACAAATTGTGCTTAAGTAGGTTCTGTTTTCATATTTAATTTCTCAAGTAATACTTTTGGGCACACGGAGGAAGTTTTCTAAAAGGAAATCTTACTTAGGAGCCTTTAATTTGTAATTTTTTTATGTAATCTGGCTGACTTATAGTTCAAAGTTTTGCTGATCAGCTGATTGCTTTTTGGATTGATTTGAGAGGTGGCATGGTTTAGAAATTTTGACTGGCGTTCCAGCTCTTTTACACTAACTCCATAATCCTGGACACATCATTTGTTCTTTACCTTGCTAGCATCTCAAGTGTTATCAAATTCTAACATTCTGTCACTCTAATCTGTCTTTTAAACATTTCTCAAGATAGTAACTACATAATGTCTAAAAAAGATGTGCTAGGTAAAAGTTCAGAAGAAAATAGTCTTAACTCTTTGTTGTATTAAACATTTACAAATCTGCTGACTTTGAGTCACTTCTCCCCACTCCAATAGCACTCATTTTCCTGCAATTCCTCAGCACAAGTTCTGACTTCCAAAGTAGAGTTTTCTGATCTCTACAAAAGCAACAATAAATTTACTTTCCTGAATTCTTTTTTTTTTCCCCCGAGTTGGAGTCTCACTCTTGTCACCCAGGCTGGAGTGCAGAGGCATGCTCACTGCCACTGCAGCCTCAGCCTGCTGGGCTTAGGCAAACCTTCTGCCTCAGCCTTCCAAGTAGCTGGAACTACAGGTGCACACTACCACACTGGGCTAGTTTTTTTTGTGTATGTTATTTATTGTAGAGACGAGGTCTCAGCAAGTTGCCCAGGCTGTTCTCGAACCCCTGGGTTCAGGCATTCCTTGAGCCTTGGCCTCCCAAAGCGCTGGGATTACAGGCTGGGCCACCGCGCCCAGCCCTGAATTCTAATACACCTTAGAGTTCATATCACATAATCTATCTACTTGGGTTTAAGTCATCCTACGTTCTTACATGCTACAGCTGGAGTGCAGTGGCATATTCACAGTCACCACAGCCTTGACCTGCTGGGCTCAGTCGATCCTCCCACCTCAGCCTCCCAAGTAGTTGGAAGTAGAAGCGCATACCACCACACCCAGCTAATTTTTTGATTTATTGTAGAGACGAGGTCTCACTAAATTGCCCCATCTGGTCTCCAGTTTCTGGGCTCAGGCCACATTGCCTTGGCCTCCCAAAGTGCTTTGATTACAAGTGTGAGCCACCGTACCCGGCCACCCTACACTCTTTTTTAATGTTTCTAATGGGGTTCATAATCCTCAACTAGTTTTGAATCGTTCATGCAGCCACTTGTTCAATAAATACTAATTGGGCACCTACAAAAGTGCCAAGTAGCAGTGGTTCAAGAAGAGAGTGATTGCTCTCTACCTTATTTGTAACCAAAAAGATTCTAAAACAATTATTGTTGAATATATCTGTGAATGTTTATTAACATGTATATAATTGTCCTCAATTAATTATGAAAAATATTTGAGGCAGAATTTTTTTTTTTTTTTGAGTTGGAGTCTCACTCTATCACCTAGGCTGGAGTGCAGTGGCATGCTCACGGCCACTGCAGCCTCAACCTGCTGGGTTCAGGCAATCCTTTTGCTTCAGCTTCCCAAGTAGAGGAATCACAGGCATGTACCACCATGCCCAGCTAATTCTGTTTTGACTTATTACAGAGACAAGGTCTCACCAAGTTGCCCAGGCTGGTCTCAAACCCCTGGGCTCAGGCAATCCTGTCTCCTCTGCCTCCCAGAGTGCTGGGATTACAGGGGTGAGCCACTGTGCCTGGCTTGAAACGTTTAATAATAAATTACAGGTTGAGTAAAAACCTGCAGTAACTGAATGGCCTCTCTGAGTCCTCCCATGAAGGACTCTGTCGTCTTTTCCAACCTCTACCTACCAAAGTAAACCTGCTCTCCTTAGGTGGATTTGAAAAAAGGGAACACCATGCAAACTGGGCACGAATCACAGTATACAATGAAGGATACACACAAAGAGTTAGGCAGGGGATCCAGATAGTAGGGAGAAGGGTTGCAGCAAGTCATCAATTACATCAAATCCAGAAAATGATATTTTATCTGACTGTATCAACAGACTTTGATTCACACAAAATGTAAATAAACTAAATAACTTGCATTTCCCATCAGGTTCATTAAAACTGAGTTGAACTTCACCTATGTGACCACTAAGCATAATATGTAAATATTGTCATCATTTACAGTCTTGTCTCACACACAATGACTACTCCCATGTACTTACTGCCTTAAGACATTTCTGAGACGAGGGCGGCACTATGATTTCATCACTGTCTGTAGTTTGTGCTTCACTCACTTCAGAAGCTTGTTCACAGGATTCTTTATCTGCTAGAGAAGAGGCTGGAGTTACAGAATTGTAATCCTCTAGACCAAGAAGAGACCATATACACATCTCCAATCTACTGTCTGGTCACTAAGTCTGAGTGTCTAGATTTTGGCTTCACTTAGGTAGAATCAAACCCTCCTTTTCAAAGATCCATTTACTTGGAAGCTAGCTAAACATACAGGGCTCATTTCTGAAAACAAAGAAAGAGAAAAGAAAAACAGAAAGAGGGAAGGAAAGCATGAAGGAAGAGAGGGAGGGAGGGATGAATCCTCTTGTAGGAGCTGAAGAAAATGACCAAGCTGAGGAAAAGCAGTGTGGCAGATTGTATTTTCCAAAGACGGCCTCAAACAATCTCGCCCATGCCACACACTCGTCTTACAACGTGACACTGACACTCCTCCTATTGAGTGGTGGAGTCTATGTCCCCCATCTCCCCTACAACTGACATGAAACTTGGTGGCTGCTTCAGCCAGAAGAGTATGGCAGGAGTGATGCTATGTGACTTCTAAGGTCAGAACACAAAAATGCCATGTACTTGGCACCTTGCTGTCTTGGAATCCAGCAACCAAGCTCTGTGGAAGCCCAGGCAGTCTGCTGACAGCCAGAACTAACTGGCCAGCCACTAGGGTGAGCCATCTTGCAGGCTGAGTCCATCGGCTTCCCAACCGAGCTTGTCCATATGCCATAAGGAGGAGAAATGACCCTTTCCCATGATTCCTGCCTGAATTGCAGATTAGTGAACAAAAGAAATGATTATTGTTGTTTTAAGCTACTAAATTTGGGGGTAGATTGTTACACAGCAGTAGATAACTGGAAGACAGGCTGTGCCTCCAGGGTAAAATGTCAAAGTTTGGGGCTGTCTGTTCCACTTACGCCTTAGAGGGAAAAGGTCCGAGATGACACAGGGGCAGCAAAAGCAAAGTCTGCTTAAGCGCACATGGCATTGTCTACATGTGTGAAAATGTCCTTAAAATCAGGTCCTTTCCTTTTCTTGGTGCCTTTATCTAATAACCTTGTAGAACTTTTTCTAAAAAGATTAACAAGCTCTTTCTTTTTTTTTTTTTTTTTTTTGAGTTGGAGTCTCACTTTGTCGCCCAGACTGGAGTGCAGTGGCCACTCCCGGCCACCGCAGCCTCGACCTGCTGGGCTCCGGCGATCCTTCCGCCTCAGCCTTCCGAGTAGCCGGAATTACAGGCGCACGCTTCCACGCCCGGCTGATTTTTGATTTGTTGTAGAGATGAGGTCTCGCTGCCCAGGCGGGTCTTGAACCCGCAAGCTCAGGCAAACCACTCACCTCAGCCTCCCAAAGGCACGGGATTACGTGATTACAGACTGAGCCACCGAGCCTGGCTTTTTTTTTTTTTTTTTTCCAGTTGAAGTCTCACTCTGTCACCCAGGCTATAGTGCAGTGGAACACTCACAGTCATCACAGCCTCAACCTGCTGAACTCAGGCAATCCTTCCACCTCAGCCTTCCAAGTAGCTGGAACTACTAGCACGACCACGCTCAGCTAATTTTTTTATTTATTGTAGAGACAAGGTCCCAAACCCCTGGGCTGAGGCAATCCTCTTGCCTTGGCCTCCCAAAGTCCCGGGATTACAGGTGTGAGCCACCGCACCTGGCCACAAACTCCTTTTTCAAGCACCACAGCACATTGCTTCTGATGCCCTCATCAGATGTCCCACAGACATCTGAAACCAGGCAGATTTTAGCTTCTTATGCCTACTAACTTGGGGTCTTGATCTTTTGGAATTAAGGGCCATCTTAGAGCAATAACTAACAATTTGACTTCCACAGAAAGTCTTCTTATTTATGACTATAAATATATGGCATATGATTTTTAGATTACTTTCTGGTCCCATATCTTACATCCTGCATGGAGAAAAAGCCAGTGAATATAGGTCACACTTAAATACCTGAAGAAATGTAAATTGGGAGTATAGCAATGACTGGAACCCAGCGTCATTTCTGGATTTTCAATTCTGTTATATCTCTCTGTCAGTCTATACTTTTGACAATACTACACTGTCTGAATTCCTGTATCCTTGTTGTAAGTTTTAAAATTAGGTAGTACAAAATTTCAGCTTCGTTCTTTTTCAAAACTGTTTTGGCTATTCTAGGTTCTTTGCATTTCTATATAAATTTTGGGTAGAATTGCTATCTTAACAATTTTGAATTGTCCAATCCATAAAGATGGTACTTTTCTCCATTTATTTGAATATTCTCTCATTTACCTTGAGAATTTCTGCAGTTTTCAGTACATAGATCTTGTACTTCTTTTGTTAAATTTATTCCTAAGAATTTTATTCTTTTGTATAAAATTGTGAATAGAATTGTCTTCTTGATTTTGTTTTAAGATTGTTTATTGCTAGTATATAGGAATATGATTGACTTTGGTATATGGATCTTACAGCTTTATTCACTTACCTTTAGTTCTAGTAATTTTTTTTTTCTTTTTGTAGGTTTCTCATGATTTCCTAAATGTAAGATCACATCAGTGGCAAATAATGACAGCACTATTTCTTTATATCCACAATTTGTATGACTTCAGTTTTTCTTTTTCTTAGAAATGGGGTCTCGCTATGTTGTCCAGGATCACGGACAATGGCTATTCACAGGCGTGATTATAGTGCACTACAGCTTTGAAGTGTAGTGCACTAAGGAGTCCACCCCAGCCTTCCAAGTATCTGGGACTACAGTCAGGTACCAACATGCATAGCTATTTTTTTTTAAGAGATGGGGACTTTAATTTCTTTGTCTTGCCTGGTTAAAATCTCCATGATGACCGGGCACAGTGGCTCAGCCTGCAATCCCAGCACTTTGGGAGGCTGAGGCTAGAGGATTGCCTGAGCCCAGGGGTTCGAGACCAGTCTGGGCAACATGGTGAGACCTTGTCTCTACACTAAATCACAAAAACTAGCTGGGCATGGAGATGCATGCCTGTAGTTTCAGCTACTTGAAAGACTGAGACAGAAGGATCACCAGAGCCCAGCAGGTTAGGTATGCGGTGGCCATGAGCCTGTCACTGCACTCCATCCTGGGCAACAGAGTAAGACTCCAATTCAATCAATCAATAAAATCTCCATGGCAATGTTCAATAGGAGTGGTGAAAGCAGACATCTTTGTTCTCTACCTTAAGGAAAAAGCAGTCAGTCTTTCACCACTGTGATGTTTTATCATATTTTATTAGTTTGAAGTAATTTCCTTCTCTTCCTAGTTTGCTGAGAGTTTTTATCAAGAATGAAAATTGGGTTTTGTAAAATGTTTTTTCTCTAGCTATTGAGATTATCATAAAGCTTTTGGTCTTTAATACAGTGTATTAAATTGATTTTTTTGATGTTAAACCAACCTTGCATTCCTAGAATACATCCCACCTGGTCATAGTGTGTAATCCATTTACTATTTTATATTTTGCTGTATTTGGTTTACTAATATTTCATTAAGAATGTTGCATCTGTGTTCATGATAATTGTCTGTGTGTTTATGTTTTTGTTTTTAAATGTCTGTAGCTTGCTTTGGTATTAAGATAATACTAGTTTTATTCTGAGTGAAATTAGGAAGTTTTTTTCCCCTCTTCTATTTTCTCAAAGAGACTATATAGGATCAGCATTATTTCCTTTTTAAATATTGAAATAATTCACGAGTGAAACTATCTAGGCTTGGATTTGTTTCTTGTTGGAAGATTTTTTAATTACTAATTCATTTTCTTTTTGCTTCTTTCTTTCTTTCTTTCTTTTTTGTTAGTAGGAGTCTCACTCTGTCACCCAGGCTAGAGGGCAGTGGCACTCTCACGGCCACCACAGCCTCGGACCACTGGGCTCAGTCGATTCTTCCACATCTCTGGAAATACAGGTGCACACCACCACAAAAAGCTTATTTTTTGATTTATTGTATAGAGCAAGGTCTCGCAAGTTGCCAAGGCTGGTCTCGAACCTCTGGATTCAGGCAATTCTCTCGCCTCCGCCTCCCAATGTACTGGGATTATAAGCATGAGGCACCGTGCCTGGCTTCATTTATTTACTTCTTATAGGTCATAGCTGATTTATGTTTTCATGTGTCAGTTTTGGGCATGTGTATCTTTTTAGGAATTTGTCTTTTCCATCTAAAGTTTTTTGCATATATATATTTAAAATATATACATATATATATTTTAATTCAGAGTCTCACTCTGTCACCCAGGCTGGAGTGCAGTGGCATGCTCACGGCCACCGCAGCCTTGACTTTCTGGGCTCAAGTGATCCTTTCGCCTCAGCCTTCCAAATAGCTGGAACTATACAGGCATGTGCCATTATGCCCAGCCAATTTTTTTAATGTATTGTAAGGACAAGGTCTCACCACGTTCCCCAGACTGGTCTCGAACCCCTGAGCTCAAGCAATCCTCTCACCTTGGCCTCCCAAAGTGCTGGGATTATAGGCTTGACCACTGCCCCCAGTCTATACTCCTTTTAATTATAGGGTCTGCAGTGATCCTACATTCATTCTGAACATTGCTAATTTTTATCTTTACTCTTTAATTCCTTGGTAAGCTTTCTATTTATCAATTTATTGCCATTTAGCTCCTTCATTGCCAGCTCTGCAATAATAGAGCTGGACCCTGTAACTATTTCTTTTTATTTTGACCAGCTAGCACCATGCTAAGTTATTTATTTATTTATTTATTGAGTCGGACTCTCACTCTGTCGCCCAGACTGGAGTGCAGTGGCCGCTCCTGGCCACTGCCACCTCAACCTGCTGGGCTCTGGTGATCCTTCCGCCTCAGCCTTCCGAGTAGCCAGAATTACAGGCGCACACTACCACGCCCGGCTAATTTTTTGATTTTATTGTAGAGATGAGGTCTCGTCTGCCCAGGCGGGTCTCGAACCCGCGGGCTCATGCAATCCACTCACCTCAGCCTCCCAAAGGCGCGGGATTACAGGCTGAGCCACCAAGCCCGGCCACCATGTTAAATTTTGACAAAAGAGGGCATTGGAAGATCATTGGAAGAAGAAGGGGTTGTGGTTCCAGTGTGCTCATTCATGCAGGCTCCTGCAGTAGATGTGGACTCTCACAGACCAAGCACCTGCAACACAAACTCCTGCAACACAGGGCTCCAGCAGCACACAGGGTTCTGCAGAGCATGACTCTAGTAGTACATGGCTTCTGTAGCTCCTGATTTCAAACGTTCCCACTAACCAGTAGCACATGGGACCATCCCATTGGTAGCTATCTCTGGAGGGGGTTTGCAACGAAATGCCACTGGCTTAGCACCTCTCCATGAATAGCTTTCCCCAACAGCCCAGAGGGCAACTTAACAGTTCCTCTGAGTTCCGAGAGTAAATAACTTGCTTGAAAAAAATAATTAAATGATTCAGTAGAAGAATTAGATTTAAACAAACAATACCATTTACAGAATGCAGGGGTTCCTTCTGTTTCAGTGCTGAATGGGATAATGTAATTTCCTCTTCTGTGTATTTTTTTAAACCATCATCTATGGAGCTCTTAAGCCCCGAGAACTTCCACTCTGTGTGGTTCACCTGCTTCAGAATAAGGACAACAATATTATATTAACTGGTAATATTTCCTTCCTTCCTTCCTTCCTCCCTTCCCTCCCTCCCTCCTTCCATTCCTCCTTCCTTCTTTTCATCCTTTTTTCTTTAACTTCCTTCTTTTTAAAAATGAGTTCTTTTTAATTTTTAAAATTTAGTATTAAAAAAACTAAATACCAAATGTATACACACACACATGTATAGTATTAAAGTTTCAAGCATAAATTGCAGAGCACATAATAGGCTGAGTTAAATTACATTGAAATGAAATGAACAGTTCAGGGGTTTATCAAGTTACTTGTGTTTGTGGAAACTCATGCTAGCCACAAATAGCTCTGATTGTTGTTTGTCTTGTGTGTCTGCTTCTGCTCCTATCCCTGCAAATGACACATCTGGACATACTACAACCATATTTCAGTCATTCAGGGTTTCTAAGGTCTTACTTGAAGGGTATTTCCATTTAAGATGTTACGACTAAGATATTCCATTCTGTTCTTTCCTTGAGCACCTATTCTTCTGCCATGTTTTCTTCTTGAGTAGTTTACAACCTGGTGTTCCTTTTCCTTTCTTTCTCCCTCCTTAGGAGCTTTTCTCCTGGCTTGATACTGGTTAGCTTCAATGGGAATCTCAGCAGATGCCATCTGGTCCTAAGAAGGATCAGAGACAGATTTACAAGATGATAGTTAACAACCTTGATGCTCAAGAAAGAGATTTATGAACTAGCATTAGACTTTATTTCTCTCCTGCTATAGAGCTGAGAGACATTCTTTCTCTGTCTCCTTCCCACAATAAAACCCAAAGTTTTGCTCCATCAACAGCTTCTTGACATTATGAGAGATATAGATTAAGTTCACAGAACATATAACATTCATAGAAGGAATTTCTTTTACTCCAAAGTTAGTACTGTCTCCTTCAAGTCTGCTTTATAGGATTAGCAGAGATCTGCTGCCTGGGGAGTCCTAGAGAGTAACCTGGGGAGGAAAGGAAATCTTTTCCTCTTCAGATGAGATGTCCAAACTGTCTTTGGTGACACTCCCCTCCATCTGAGCTTCTGGTTTCTCAGGGAGTACATAGGGAGATTTCCAATCCAGCTGCACTTGAATAGAACCATTGGGTTTCTCCGCAGGGTCCGTGAGGTTAAAATCACCTGAGAGGTGCACACACACACACACACACATCAGTAAGACCTGATCACATGGAATAGGCAAGCGAACATTTATCAGCACCCAATCTATTTCTCCCCACTTTTAATTTCATTTTTTGTCAGTAATTTATTAACATTCATCAAACATCATGATAATGATACATCAGAAGTAACATAAAATAGCAGTGTAGTAGATTATTAATAAGAGGAGATGGGTATCTCCAGGTTTCAGGAAAAAATAGATTTACGGAGAAGGGTACAGCTTGCTTGTCATCAGTCACCCAGACAATAAACAAGACTGCATTATTGCTATTATCAAACGCTTACTACTTCTTAGGTGTTTCAGGTCTGCAAATACCAAGTTTACCCCTAGGACACCAGGCGTCCCATGCGACAGTGATGCCCGAGACCAGGTGTCCACGGACACCCAGTGGCCAACATGACAGTGACACCCGCGGCCAAGTGTCCATGTACACCAGGTCGACCCTTCAAGAACCATTATCTATACTCCAGTGGTCCCAAGGAAACATAAGCAACATGCCATTTTCCAAATGCCAGCCTTCTGAGTTATAACACTGATGAACAGATGGCTCCCCGTAACAATGATTAACAGCCTCCCTTGTTTGGCAAAGTAGTTGTGAGCAAAAATGTCAGCCCTGCTGGGTCCTGTGGCTCACGCCTATAATCCTAGCACTTTGGGAGGCAGAGGCAAGAGGACTGCCCGAGCCCAGGGGTTTGATATCAGCTTGGTCAACCTGGCAAGATCTCGTCTCTACGATAAATAAAAAAATTAGCTGGGTGTGGTGGCATGCGCCTATAGTTCCAGCTACTTGGAAGACTGAGGTGGAAGGATTGCCTGAGCCCAGCAGGTTGAGGCCGTGGTAGCCATGAGAGTGCCTCTGCATTCCAGCCTAGGTGACAGAGTGGGATTTCGACTCAAAATAAATTAAATAAATAAATAAAAGTCAGCCTTTTAAAAAGTAGTTGTGGTATTGGGAGGAGGGAGGCCTCGCACACTTCCTGCAGCATCCATAAGCTTGTTACATATGGCTGATTTGGCTGAATCTACCCACAATTCCTAATGAAAGCATTGATAACCCTGCTCATCCTCCCAGGACTGTAGCCAGGGTCAACTCCTCCTAGGTGCACCCTATATCCCGTGGTATGAAAGTTAGGTAGATAGTATGAAGCTCAGTTCCATAGTGGGAAGAAAAAAATCCAAGAAATTTGCCTTTGTCATGGTTTGGTATGGAAGTCTCTCTAACTGTGTCTAATATTTAAAAGAAGTGAGAGAATTATAAGGTCTCAGTTTATAATCAGATCTCTAGTCACACACTACGAAGCAATAGGGCCTTAGGTAAAGACAAATCTTAGGGAGCACTAGAGAGTTAGAAATAGTTTGTTCAAAGACAGAAGAATGGAAAGGGCTGGTGGATCTACCCACTTAGGAATCTTGTTTTGTTGCTGAAAAGAAGCAGAAGAAGCCGGTGTTTCCATACAAGTAGTGAGGCTCTAATCTTTCTGATCTGTCACTCTTCAAAATATCCTACAGTCTTTTCTTCAAGTTTTAATGGACTGTTTCAAGCAAGTCATCAAAGAAAAGTAGAATGAGGACAGGGAGACAACACTGGGCAAAGAGCATGAAGATGCAATAACCTTAAACTCCCACCTTGAATGGATTTGTTTTGTGCAAGAGGCAGCAAGGGCACTTGGACTCGGCCAAGGTATGAGCCAGGCTCTGAGTCTTCATCATCAAAAACGTATATGGATAAGGCCTCCCGCCTCAGATATTGGTCCAGGTCAGAGGTCACAAGCACTGGGAATCGAGCCTGGTCTCTAAAGTAGGGATTGTTACTGGCTGGAACGATGGCAGTGTCATGATCAGAAAAGGTGAAGAAGCGGTACATGGCGTACGGACTGGGCTGAGTTCCCAGCCATCGACTCCGGAGGCCGCAGCACCTGGTGATTTCAATCCGCAGCTCATTCTGAGGTTTCCGAGTCTCTGATCTGAACTGGAGAGATGTTGGTCTTGAACTGAGGCAAAAGGCAGCCTGAAGAATGTTACAGGTGAAGCCCAGCACCCTTGGTGAGGGAGAGCTGTGATCTGGAGAGAGACTATCCTGACTGGATTTCAGAGAAACCTAAGGACCTTCACCTGCCGGCCAACTGGCTCTGGCAGTGATTTGAGTGAGATGCTAGTACTCCCAACTTATTTAGAGAATGGCTCAGAGAAGCTATTTTGTTCACACCAAGGAGAGGTAGCTAGCTCCAAGGGCATGATTTCATTTCAATCTCAAGCTTGGCCAAGGGAATAATCTGGACTAGTTGTGACGTGACAGTTTTTCTCTTTCATTCACATTCAACAAATACCTATTGAGAATGGAAGACTGAACTGTTCTCATGAGCTGTATGACTGAGACTCCTTGGAGATGCATGGGCACATCCTTCTTCTCACCTCATGCTCCTGGGCCTCCCGGTCTCCAAGCATATTGGCTGACAGGTAGACCTGGGCTTTCTTTCGTTTATTGCATGCCTGTAGGCTGGGTCTCATGGGGAAACGCAGCCTCATCCAGTATTCTAGCACCCCAAACTCTTCTCCACCAGGTCCTGGATAGCAGAAAGTATGAAAGGCATGGAGAATACATATGGTGTAGCAAGGGTCAAGAATAAAGGCAGAAGAGGAAAATGGGAAACTACCAGAAGAGCAACTGTATACTTTGGGAAATTCTGCATTGGTCCTAGGAGCTACAGGAAGCCGACAGCACTTACCAGTGAGTGTGGCTGAGCCATGGACTTTCTCCACAGTCTCTAGCACCCTGTCAAAACAAATCCATCCAGCCGCAAGTGTGTTGTGCTCACTGGCCACAGCCTGGTGTAGATCAAGCCGGGCGGAAGCCCCTTGAAGGTAGTGCAAGAACAGGGAATCTGTCTCCACCACATACTGGGAGGTAAAGTCATAGAGGGGCTGTGGCCCTACAGATAGTGGGGTACAGTGGGTTTCAAAATCATAGAAGGAATAGGTGCAGAAAGTGGTAGGTTGGGTGTCTCCAGCCTGAGCCAGGGCAGCAGATGTCAGCAAGGCCTGGTGGATGTGCAATTCAAAAAGATTCTCACTCTGATGCAGCTGGGAAATGTCCACTTTATCCTCATCTCCATGGGCTGGCAGTGCTTCCAGACATAACGACAACTGTCGTGTGCCGTAAGCGACATCTTTCAGCTGTTCTAGAGGGGAAAGAAAACTGCCTATCCATTAAAGAGTAGGGAGCTCTTCCTTAGGGTAAAGGAGGGTAGACAGATGGGAAATAATGGCTGGGCACAGTGGCTTATGCCTGTAATCCCAGCACTTTGGGAGGCAAGAGGATTGCCTGAGCTCAGGAGTTTGAAACCCGCCTGGGCAACATAGTGAATTCTCGTCTCTAAAATAAAATAAATCAACAAGTTAGCTGGATGTGGTGGCACATGCCTGTAGTCCAAGCTACTTGGAAGACTGAGGAAGGATCACCTGATCCCAGCAGGCTGAGGTTGCGGTAGCCATGATCATGCCACTGCACTCCAGCCTAGGTTACAGAGTGAAACTCTGACTTAAGAGGGTGGGGGAGGGTAAAAAACATGATGGAAGTCCAAGTTATGATTATTTCAAGAAGCCATGTGATTCAAAAGGAAGAGCGATAGAATGACAGCCAAGTGCTTCGAATTCCAAATAATCTAATTCCTGATTTAGAGAAAAGGTACAAAATGAGCAATTAGAAAGTAAATGCTAAACTCAGGAAAGTACTGGATGCACATTTTATCATACAGATGACACTTTTGGTTTATATCATGGCCCTATGAAATAACTGATAATTCCATAAGAGAAGCCTAGAAACACAAAATGTGAATATTTCTGAAGTTTGGTATATTGGCCAGGGAGAGAATAGCGCGTTACAGACATGGTGTCTCTGACATTACACTGGGCACCATCAAAAAAATGCTTCCCCTTCTCCATCCAGATCAGTCACAAGAGATTTCATTAAGAATTTGACTTCATCATAAGAAAACAAACAATCCACTGTAAGTCAAAGAGTCACAGAGTTAAAAGTGGGAGAGGAGACTTACTAGAAAGAGGTTGATAATATTAGCAGTGGTATGTAAAGATATGTAGATAGTCTCCCGAATCTGGGCATTACCTCCCTTGTCCAACCAATCAGAAACTCTGAGATAAAGTTTGCTTCAAACTAGGGAGAATTTTTTTTTTTGTTTTTTTTTGAGTTGGAGTCTTACTCTGTCGCCCCGACTGGAGTGCAGTGGCCACTCCCGGCCACCGCAGCCTCAACCTGCTGGGCTCTGGCGATCCTTCCGCCTCAGCCTTCCAAGTACCCGGAACTACAGGCACACGCTACCACGCCCGGCTAATTTATTTTTGACATATTGTAGAGATGAGCTCTCGCCAAGTTGCCCAGGTGGGTCTCGAACCCGCGGGCTCAGGCAATCCACTCACCTCAGCCTCCCAAAGCGCGGGATTACAGGCTGAGCCACCAAGCCCGGCTACAGGGAGAATTTGAATCATCACGGTGTGTTGATGATGAAGGTCCTATTTTAAGAGTTAAAGTGGTAGAATAAGATTTATCCTGCATTGTCCCAGGAGAAAGGCCCCAAGTCTGAAAGACATGAGAATTTCAACCTAAGGGAGGATTTTCTTTGTTATATGGCAGTGACTTTTTACCAAACTCATCCCAATATGGGTAAACTATGCCCCAGAAACACTTATCTTCTTTTATTCTCGATTCATACTAAGGAATTTGATTACTGATTCTGCTTGCCAGAGAAGGCTACCCTGAATAGTGGTTCCAAATATTCTCATGACAGTAATAGAATAGCCACTACTGTAAAATAACAAATGAACATTCAGTTTTTTTTTTGTTTGTTTTATTTTGTTTTTGAGTAGGAGTCTCACACTGTCACCCAGGCAGGAGTGCAGTGGCGCACTCACGGCCATCGCAGCCTTAACCTGTTGGACTCAGGCTATCCTTCTGGCTCAGCCTTCCAAGTAGCTGGAACTACAGGTGCACACTACCATGTCCGGCTAATTTTTTGATTAATTCTAGAGGTGAGGTCTCACCAAGTTGCCCAGGCTGGTCTCGAACCCGTGGGCTCAGACAGTCCTCTCACCACCCCTTCCAAAGCTCTGGGATTATAGGCATGAACCACCGTGCCTGGCTAAGTTTCTTAACACAGAAGGCTGAGACCAGACTCTTGTCAGCAGTGACTATACTGAATATAGCAAGCACCACAATATGAAACTTGCATTAGATGTCTGGCCAGGGGCTCTGTCACGGTTGACATCCTCAAACTGTAACAAAGATTTTAGAGACGCTTAGAGGTAAATCATAGAAAAAAATAATGGGGGATCAATGATGAAGCTCTGTTACCTGACAAAAACTGCTTTGAAGAAACAACAACAGGAAAAGTGGAAGGGAAGTGTGGTGGGGGGGTGGGGAGTGGAGAGAAGAGGGCATAAGAGAGAGAGAAAGTGTGTGTTAAAATACTCTGAGGGTCAACAATGACATTCTCTCATTCCCAAAACAGAATCAACATCCTGGAAACGATTTCTGGGCCCTGTTAAAACTCTCCAGAGAAATCAGAGAAACACACTGATGGGATGGAGGGAAAGAAGCCGCTAACATGTATTAAAACAACAAAGATGACACAAGGTAAAGAACAGGAGGACAAGTCACGTGCTGAGGACATAGGTAACCTTCTCGACAGGTACACAGAGGGAAACGTGAGCATTAGCAGTGTGAAGGATCAAAGACAAAGTACTAAATACTAAGACTTGCCAGATGTTGGAAGGCCATGACTTCTTAAAATACCTTCCAGCTGCTTGATACGGCTGTTCTTGAGGTCTAGGAGTTTACTCAACCTCTCCAGCTTTTCTTGGTGGTCTCTATTTTCATTATCAGTTTTTGTCATCACTGCCTCCAGTTCCTCCTGAAACAAAATGAAATCCAAATTTTCAGTTTCAATGGCCTAGAACCAAAGAGCCCAGATTAAAAAGAGAACACTTGCTGGGTCAAGAAGACACTGCTATCTCCTTAGCAGGGCAGGTTCATCCACTAGAAAAGGCTTGGTTTCCTCACAGACCCCTCCAGGACTAGTTGTGCTATTATGACCACAGGATAGTATTTTCCTAGGACTGGCAGGAAAGTTTGAACCCAGAAGCTTCACACTTGCCATTTTCATGAACTGGTCCCTTCATTGGCTTCGACTGCCAAAGTGCCATGGGTATGTGCGACCCCCCAGGTTCTCCAAAGGAAAGCACATTCTGTGTTTGCACAGAACAGCCAGTCACCTGGCACGGCCCTGGAAACTCAAGTATTGCTTCATTCCCAGTCTTGTGAGTTGTGCTCATATTTATCCAGCCCCTTCCTGTACCATCTTTCCTCGCACCTGATAACACACGTTGATTTTGCGCTGCAGAATAAGCATGTCTCTGGTCTTTCCTAGTTCCATTGTGATCTCTGCATATGACACTTGCAACTCATTTAACATATGGGACAGTTTGTTTTCATCTTGGCGTTTTGGTTCCCTGGGCTGTGGAGGGAAAAGCATTGGTAAAAGGGAGTATGAGGCGGGTAGGGGACAATAAGGGAGCATGCATATGACAGGTACAGTAATAACCCTTCTCCATAAAGCAGCAGTTGGTAGTAGTCAAATGCCAGCAGCAGAATTGACTCCAAAATGGAGAAGAGGGCCCGTATCACTTCACAAGTGCTCTCTCCCCTAGTCCTCCTGTTCAGTAGCAGCAGTGAAGGGAGGTTATACAGCCTTTAATGGCTGTTTTCTCTTCCGCAGATCATTTCAAGTCCTCATCTGAAAAAGATTCTAAATGAGCTGTCAGCCTTCAAATATTCCAAATATTATCCTCAGTCAGGACAAAATATTATTCAGTTAGTTTTCTAATCTATTCATCTTCCCTAGGATATTTGCCAGAGATCCTGCTGTAGAGAGGACTAGTTTGTTTAAAGAGGTTCTTACCTCTCCTTGTGTGATCTCTTGGAAGACAGCTGGGTGAGTGGCTGGTTCAGGCTGCCTGTCAGGAGACTGGGGGGTTGTGGCTGCCTTTTGGAGGAGCTCTACTTCCTGTTTATGTTTCTGAAGCATGCTGGTGACTTCAAGCTTCAGATCCTCGTTTTGGGCTGAGGGAAAAAAATAATCCAGAAAGTCGAAACTCTGCAGTTATTGATCACCATAGTAAGAGTTGGGTCAAGTGTGAATTAAATTTCCCACTAATGTTTAATTTATTTCATTTTTTAAAAACTAGGGTCTTACTTTGTCACCCAGGCTGAAGTGCGGTAGCACGATCATGGCTTACTGCAGCCTCAGACTCCTGGGCTCAAGCAATCCTCCCACCTCAGACTCTCGTGTAGCTGAAACTACAGGTGCATGCCACCACACCTGGCTAATTTTTTGTAGAGATGAGATCTCACTGTGTTGCCTCGGTTGGTCTTGAACTCCTGGGCTCAAGTGATTCTCCCGCCTTGGCCTCCCAAAATGCTGGGATTACAGGTATGAGGCACTGCACCCAGTCATCATTTTTTTTTTTTTTTTTTTTTTGTAGTAGAGATGAGGTCTTGCTATGTTGCCCAGGCTGGTCTTGAACTCCTGGGCTCAGGCAATCCTCCCACCTCGGCTTCCTTTGGGAGCTACCACACCCAGCCTAATTTGTTTTATAAATTTGCCCTGAGAAAATTATTTCTACAAAAGACCTTTAGCCTATTCACCTAATAAACTGAAGCGACACACTCCAAAGGCAAAACCAAAGATGCCTGAAGAACTGTAGAGTGGAATGGGGAACAACAACAACACCACAAAACCAGAAACAGAGTCACTTGACTAACTGGGGAATCCAAACTTTTTTTTTTTTTGAGTTGGAATCTCACTCTGTCGCCCAGGCTGGAGTGCAGGGGCATGCTCATGGCCACTAGCCTTGACCTGCTGGGCTCAAGTGATCCTTCCGCCTCATTCTTCCAAGTAGCTGGAACTACAGGCGTGTGCTACCAAGTCCAGTTTATTTTTTGATTTATTGTTGGAGACAAGGTCTCACCAAGTCATCCAGGCGGTCTCAAACTCCTGAGCTCAGGCAATTCTCTCGCCTCGGCCTCCCAAAGTGCTGGGATAACAGGCATGAGCCACCATACACACAGACAAAATCCAAACTTTTGGACAGCACCATCCAAGTCAATATCCTGCCACCCCCAGTCCATTCTGACTTCTAGATTACTGGCTCTCATAGCAACCATCTCCATACTCACTCTTGCCTGGAGAGAAGATGAGAATTTGTGTGTGTGTGTGTGTGTGTGTGTGTGTGTGTGTGTGTGTGTGTGTGTGTGTGTGTATGCTCATGTGCATGGGCACACACGTGTGTTTTTTAGAGAAGGAGGATGATCAGGTGATCATCATGAATTAGAACAGGGAAGAAATTAGATTGCCCTAAATGTCCTTACAAGACTTCACTTGTACCTCATTCGAATGTCCGTCTGGAAACTTGGAGTAACTCTACCAAAAGGTCCTTGGCATGTGTTCCTGAACTTTATCCTCTTATGGTTCCTATCTCTATTTTTCTTGATGTCGTATTTCATATTTCTTTTCCTTCAGTCTTTTATTTGAACATACTAGAAACTGATGTGATAGAAGTTTAATAAGATTAAATACTAAGGTCCAGTCAAGGGAAAAGAAGTGAGAAGAAGGTCTTTTGGGCAATATTTTAAAAAATCTTCCAAATATCTATTTCCTGAGATCCAAGAGTTAAAACAGTGGGTGCAATAGTAGTGATAACAAAGAGTAGCAGTTTGCTTCTCAATTTCAAGGATCAGGTGGTTAAAAAAAAGAAGATTGCTCCCACTCAACTCTAAAACAATTAATGACATTTTCAATACTTTTAGTAAATAAACTGAATGTTTAAAAACATGACACATCAAAAACTGGTGTCCCCTCAAATGGAAAGACATTAGAAAAAAGTATACAAATGAGGTTGGTAGGTGTAATGCTTTCCTGGCTGTAAATCTGACTTAGTTGCCAGTGTTCCTAGTCTAGTTATCTATGAGTCACAAAAGAGTAAGATCAAGTGAGAAGATTGTAAAAATGATGGCCAAAGATCCCTTCTCCCATACCAGATGTAGAGGATGCCACGTTTGAGAGAACTCTTTAAGGCCCATCCTACCTTTCTCATTGGAAAGCTCGAGTAAGAGTCTTCTCTTTTCCTCCAACTCAGCATCCAGCTGATCATGTAGCTGAGAGACTTGCTGCTGCAGCTGTTCTCCTATGAGCTCATTGCTCCATTGAGGCTGATTACTGCTGTCCAGCATACTGAAAATGGAAAGCAAGTTGTCCAGTAAATATTCAAAGGTTTGTGATATGATGTCTTTATTACAGTGTCAGCATCTCCTGGGCCTACTTCCTCATTCATTTCCCTGCATGTTTTATTCTGCCTCTGCTTTATTTGTAACTGTCAATTACCAACTGCCTTGGAACTTTTGGGTCCACTCCAAGGCATCACTTGGTATCACTTCTGTTTAGGTCTCAAGTATTTTACTGAGCAAATACCACAAGTCATATTCGTTTTCCAAGAAACTTCTCCAGCATGATGGCTTTCTTTAGGAGAGAAACTGTGTGTCAAGACATTCTCTGGCCTGCTCAACTAGAAATGAAGAAAAGCCAGGCTCGGTGGCTCAGCCTGTAATCCCGCACTTTGGGAGGCTGAGGTGAGTGGATTGCCTGAGCCCGTGGGTTCGAGACCCGCCTGGGCAACTTGGCGAGACCTCATCTCTACAATAAATCAAAAATTAGCCGGGTGTGGTAGCACACACCTGTAGTTCCAGCTACTTGCAAGCCTGAGGTGGAAGGATTGTGGAGCCCAGCAGGTCGAGGCTGCGGTGGCTGGGAGCGGCCACTGCACTCCCATCTGGGCAACAGAGTGAGACTCCAACTCAAAAAAAAAATTAAATAAATAGATACATTAATATATCTCATTGTGAAAAATTGGGATAATATGTTACTATATAAAATAAAAGTGAATGTGCCCCTTTCTCCTACTCTAATTCTCTTATCTCGTTGGAAGTTTGTGGATCATGTATATACATAACATACACTAAGTCAGAGTTAACATTTCCTCTTACAACTTGTTTTTTTGAGTTGGAGTCTCACTCTGTCCCCCAGACTGGAGTACAGTGGCACCCTCACGACCACTGCAGCCTCGACCTGCAGGGCTCAATCCTTCCACCTCAGCCTTCCAAGTAGCTGGAACCTCAGGCATGTGCCACCACACCCCCCAGCTAATTTTTTTTTAACTTATTGTAGAGACAAGGTTTTGCCATGGTGCCCAGGCTGGTCTTGAGCCCGTGGGCTCAGGCAATTCTCTCACTTCCACCTCCCAGTGCTGGGATTGCAGGTGTGAACCACTGTGCCCAGCTATATATATCTCATTTTTAACAGCTGAACAGCAATTCATTGTAGGGATGCAACATGATTTATGTAATCAATCCCCTATTGATGGAAATTTGAGTGATTTACAATTTTTAAAAAACTATTACTAGGATGGGAGCGGTGGTTCACGACTATAATCCCAGCAATTTGGGAGGCCGAGGTGAGAGGACTGCCTGAGCCCACAGGTTCAAGATCAGCCTAGGCAACTTGGCGAGACCTCATCTCTTAAAACAAAACAAAACCAAAAAAACTAGTACTAATAATTGAGTAAAAAAACACATATGGCCAGTTCTTGATCATTTACACAAATGAAATGACATTGATAGTCAATTAAGTTGCAGTAATTGACATTATATATGTGTGTGTGTGTGTGTGTGTGTGTGTGTGTGTGTATTTGCACATACACAAGAGAACTTTTTGAGTCTTGATTTCAAAAAATGAAGCTGCTGGTAAAAAAAGATATCCATATTTTCAGCGGAGGGAGCACATAACATCAATAAGGGTACTTGATCTCAAACCACATGACGTGGCATCCAAAGGGAGGCCCAAACTTTACCTGTACGATGATCATGTGTATACATAATCCTAAATTGCATCCCACATCTTTAAAATAAAAATTTAAAAAAGATATACATATTTAATACTTTAATAAATTATTTCAAGTTCCCTTCCAAGGACTGCGCCAATTTATATTCTCACCAACAATACTAAGTACCCTTTCCTCACATATTTATCAGTGCTAGGTATTATTTTTAAAATTTTGGAAGCACTTTCTATTTTTTTTTGAGTCGGGGATCTCTGTCGCCCAGGCTGGAGTGCAGTGGCATGATTACAGCACACGGCAGCCTCGACCCCCTGGGTTCAGATGATTCTTCTGCCTCAGCCTCCTTGAGAAGCTGGGACTACAGACATGCACCACCACACCCAGCTATTTTTTTTTTTTTGAGTTGGAGTCTCACTCTGTCGCCCAGACTGGAGAGCAGTGGCCGCTCCCGGCCACCGCAGCCTCCACCTGCTGGGCTCCGGTGATCCTTCCGCCTCAGCCTTCCAAGTGGCTGGAACTATAGGCGCGCACTACCACGTCCGGCTCATTTTGATTTATTGTAGAGATGAGGTCTCGCCAAGTTGCCCAGGCGGGTCTCAAACCCGCGGACTCAGGCAATCCACTCACCTCGGCCTCCCAAAGGTGCGGAATTACAGGCTGAGCCACCAAGTCCGGCTTATTTTTTTTTTTTAAGATGAGGTCTTGCTGTGTTGCTGAGGCTGATCTTGAGCTCCTCAGTTCAAGCAATCCTCCCACCTCAGTTAGGATTTATGCTAGGGTTTATAGGCATGAGCTACCATGCCTGGCTGGAAGGCACTTTCTATAATTGACTTTTTTTTTTTTTTTGAGAAAGCAGGATTTATGAAGAGGACAGAAAAGCTCCTACAGTGGGAAGGGAACCAAAGGGGTTGCCTGTAATTGACTTTTAAAGCAAATGGTGCTCTGCGATCCAGACAAGGTACTCACTTTTCTAAGAGTTTGTCATAATTGTCACTCAGCAATTTACGTTCTTCTTCCAAATCTTCAACTCTACCCTGAAACTAAGAATGACAGTAGAGTCCTTGAGATAAAAATTTTAAATCCATTGCCCCACACAGGTTTTTGCTTTTCTGTGGCACTGTGGGGTTTGGGGGCTTTTCCTATGCCATCACCAGTGCCTATGAAAAGCCATTCAACTAGAAATACTTGAACCAACTGAAGGTGGGCTAGAAACTTTTATTGGAATTAATGAGAATTTTCTAAAGTAAATTTTCATTGTATCTGGGTTTCTACTGTCAGGGAAGCATCAGAACACTATGAAAGCGCATGGACTTTGGAGAACAGACATAAGTATAAATTACAGCATTTCCTCTTATGGAGTAATTTTTTTTTTTGTAGAGACGAGGTCTCACCAAGTTGCCTGGGTGGGTCTCACGCCCGTGGGCTCAGGCAATCCACTTGCCTTGGCCTCCCAAAGTGCTGGGATTACAGGCTGAGCCACCGAGCCCAGACATATGGAGTAATCCTTTTTTTTTGGTTTTTTTTTTTGAGTTGGAGTCTCACTCTGTCGCCCAGACTGGAGTGCAGTGGCCGGGAGCCTCGACCTACTGGGCTCTGGTGATCCTTCTGCCTCAGCCTTCCGAGTAGCCGGAATTACAGGCACGTGCTATCATGCCCAGCTGATTTTTTGATTGACTGTAGAGATGAGGTCTCGCCAAGTTGCCTAGGCGGGTCTCAAACCCACGAGTTCAGGCAATCCACTCATCTCAGCCTCCCAAAGCGTGGGATTACAGGCTGAGCCACCGAGCCCAGCTTGGAGCAATCTTAAGTAAACAATTTAACCACTTGATTAAATCATTTTTTTCTCATTTGAAAAAAAAAATGAAATGCCTGTATTGTTGCTAAGACATACATTCTAACATCCTGATACTGGAATGTAGCACAGTTGATGGTATCTTTCAGTTAATATTATTTACCTCCTTCAGTGTCATCTGTAAGATAGACATATCTTCCAGTTGGCTCTTCAAGCTCACAGCCTTCTTGCTCTCCTCCTTCAGCTCTGCCCTGAGCTCATCCACTTGGCTGAGGAGGGCATCATGGGCTGCACTCAGGACTCCTTGATTCTGGGGCAAAAGGAAAGTTACTCTGGGAATGGTCATGTCACTCAGCAGGGGTAGCATCCAGACACCAGCAGTCCTAGCATTCCCTAGTAGATGTCACAAATGATGACTTTGATTAACAGCATGTTACCTTTGCACCCCAGCATTTCTCTGGAAAAATGATTTACTATTTTTGTTTTTTGAGTTGGAGTCTCACTCTGTCACCCAGGCTGGAGGCATGCTCCTGGTCCCCACAACCTTGACCTGCTGGGCTCTGGCTATCCTTCTGCCTCAGCCTTCCAAGTAGCCGGAAATACAGGTGCACACTACCACGCCCAGCTAATTTTTTGATTTATCGTAGAGACAAGGTCTCACCAAGTTGCCCGGGTGGGTCCCGAACCCATGGGTTCAGGCAATCCTCTCGCCTCGGCCTCAAAGTGCTGGGATTACAGGCTGAGCTATTGAGCCCGGCCAATTTTACTATTAAGGAGAATTTTCCATTCTGGACAACTGTAATTATTATTGGAGCCTTAATTTTCTCAAGGTTCCAGTTAATTTCTGACTCTGAGTTATAGCTTCAAAACTGCTGTTAACTTTTTAAGCTATTTGATTGCTTTTTATGATGACATGTTCCTCTCTTCACACCTAGAAAAGTGACATGCTAACTCTGAAAGTTGTGTGCATTTTTCTGATGGACTTCTCTGGTGAGGCACAGCTGTGGTGCTTGGAACTCTGCCTTAGTGATGATTCTTAATCATGGACATTCACCCAGCTTCATCTGCATCCCACTCACAGTGATGAATAGGGTCATATATTTAATACCATCAGAGACCATCTGCAACAACTTTGTTATATTTTATCACCTCACACATGCTAGAAGAATACCCTTAGAAACTTTTAAGCAAATACTATAATTCATCATAGCAATGGGCTGAAAAACACCATTCCAAATATTTCTCATCTCAGATCTTAAATTTCCATTTTTATGAAAACTGGGCAATAAGTATCTTCTGATGATAGTAATAGTATCATGTTTCTTAATAGAAACTATATGACATAATAACTGATTTCGCTTGCTAAATTCTGGTGCTATGTTACTTGGAGATGAATATGAATTTTTGAGTGAGATTACTCTGATTACTAAGAAACAGGTATTCAAACAATATTAAGTACCTTCTGGAGCAAGGTTTCATATGCCTGGAAGAAAAAAGTAAATATTTTACTGATTTATCAAATTTCATATATGTTTGATTATCCCGGTAATATAAATGTTTAATTTATATTTATGAAAAAAATATGTATTTTAAAAGACATTTTAAAAATCCCACAAATCAAGCCAATTTTTGTACCTATTTACTACAGGCTGCTATTTTTTCCCCTGCCCTAGCTTGCCAAAGTTGTCTGTGGATGCGATCAATCACCCACATCATAAAAAGGAATGGTCATTTATTCACACTTACATTGTACTTGATAGATTATCAAAAAAAATGTTTAATCTTAAACTAGGTGCTATCTTTTACTCAGAATGCTTCAGAAAGATCATTTTTCAGCTTTAGAATGAGAAAAAAAACAACAATAATCATCATAACAGGAGCTGCCACTAGCTGAGTAGTGTTTTTCATGATCGGCTACATTATGATCATTATAACTGTTTTACATATATTATCTCATTTCAGCCTTGCAGCAAATGTAAATGATAAATATTATCTAAAGTTTAAAAAATGAGAAAACCAAAGTTCATAGAGTTAAGCTACTTGCTGAGAATCACACAGCTACCAAGAGGTAGAGGCAGAACTTTAACCCAGCCTGACTCCAGAGTCAGTGCTATTGACCACCATGTTTTATTACTAAAGAATTAAGAGAGTTGGGCATGGTAGCATGCCAGAAAGTTCCATACTTTTAGTTCCAGAAAGTTGGAAGGCTGAGGAGGAAGGATCGCCTGAGCCCAGCAAGTCAAGGCTACAGTGGCTGTGAGTGTGCCATTGCACTCCAGCCTGGGTGACAGAGTGAGACTCCAACTCAAAAAAAAAAAAAATTAAGAGAATGCAAACTTATTTTGGTGTATAGATTATTAGGAAGCATAACTAGAAAGATCAATTGCTAAAGGAAAATAATTTATAAAGCCTACATTTAAAAAAATTATCCAGTCGGGCTCGGTGGCTCAGCCTATAATCCCGTGCCTTTGGGAGCCTGAGGTGAGTGGATTGCCTGAGCCCGCGGGTTCGAGACCTGCCTG